GGAAAAAATAAATAAATAAAATCTTTAAAAAAAATAAAATAAAATAAATAAAATAAAGAGAAATATTTAAGTACCAATTAAATGGAAATTTATCCAAAATGGTGACATAATTATATTTCCAGGAAGGAGTAAGGAGAAGTTTGTGTGTGAGTGACGTGTGTCAGAGATATTGGTGGTGGTAAGAGAGTTAAATTATTTCCCATAGTAAAGAAAAAAAATCTAAATCTGAAAAGTGCCAAATAATGGCAGGATAAACACGTGACTTAGAAAATTGAGTAAATAAATGAAGTCACACTTAAGAGTTGTTTTAAATGGTTCTTTCCGGGAACAGGAATTAGTGATGGGTAAAAAAGAAACAGGGTATAGTTTTTCTTCTCATTATTATGACAAGTCTAGTAGCAATATTTGATTTTTTAAAACAAAATTCACGTATTATTTTTGCCAAAATACAAATTTAACAAGAAAACACATACCATTGGAACAGATTCAAGCAATACTATAGCACATAAGCAGCAACACAGATCTCTCCCCATCCCATGAACAGTCCATTTCCCAGTTTTAATTTGATAGAGAAAAATTTATCTGTTACTTTACTGTCCTGCTTTTTTGTTGTTGTTGTTGTTGGCTTCTGGTAGCTGTCACTCATTTGAAGTGTTTTCCTAAGGATCTTTTATATATAAAATCATGTCATCAGCAAATAGTGAGAGTTTCACTTCTTCGTTACCTATTTGAATTCCTTTTATCCCTTTTTCTTGCCTAATTGCTCTGGCCAAAACCTCCAGTACTATGCTGAACAGGAGTGGTGAGAGTGGGCAGCCCTGCCTCATTCCTGTTCTCAGAGGAATGGCTTTCAGTCTTTCCCCGTTGAGTATGATGTTGGCTGTGGGTTTGTCATAAATAGCCTTTATTATGTTGAGGTACTTTCCTTCTATTCCCATTTTGTTGAGGGTTTTTATCATAAATGGATGTTGTATCTTGTCAAATGCCTTCTCTGCGTCTATTGAGATGACCATGTGGTTTTTATTCTTTGTTTTGTTGATGTGGTGTATCACGTTGATTGATTTGCGGATGTTGAATCATCCCTGCATCCCTGGTATAAATCCCACTTGATCATGGTGTATGATCTTTTTAATGTATTGCTGTATTCGGTTTGCCAAAATTTTGTTGAAGCTAAGGATCTTTTAAAAGAAACTTTAGGCCAGATGAATTACAGTGGGAAACAACAGTCACCTGGGAGCAAAGAGATTTGCTTTCTAGTCCTCTCTCTGCCTAATAAGTACTATGACCCTGGGAACCCCAGTTTCTCAGAACCATTATAATCAACCTCTAAGAGGACAGCAGAATAAGATGGTCTCTAAGAATTCTGCTCCTCAGCACTAGCACTGTGAAATTCTGTAAAGGAAATTGGATACCTTGCTAAGGATGGAGATCCAGCATAGTCCTAGAGGCCAAATGTGGCAGATAAGGTCACTGCCTAAAAACAGCCATTGCCTCCACGTTATTCCTTGAAAACTGAACCCCAATTTTATCACAGTGGCAATGTACCTTCTCCAAAGAATGAATCATGATTGATCTAGGTCAATGAGGATAATCCCATTCCCCTTTGCCAGTTACTCACTTTCCCAGCACCCCTTGCAGCTAAGAGTTACCACGTGACACAGTATTGGCCAAGAGGAGTTAAGAAGATGTCTACTGGGGGGAAAGGTTATGGAAAATTTTCCGTTTTTTTTAAAAAGAGGATAGGCATTAGAATAAAGCTCAACCCTTCTTCTTGACTTCAACATGGATATGATGCCTGGATATCTGGCAATCAACTTTATACCCCAACATGAAAAGCATGAGAACAAAATGATCCGTTAAAGATGATGGAACAAAAGACAGAAAGAGCCTAGGTTTGATGACATAAGGTAGCCACGGAAACAGTTTGGAATCAACCTCCAGTTCTCTTGTTAAGGGAGATAATAAACGCCTTTATTGTTAAAGCCACTATTAGATTAAAAATAATAATTCTAAATAAAAACATCAAGTTTGGTGGTAAAATGGTATAGGACTCAAATCAGAATTGATCCAATGAGGAGAGGTAATAAAGTAGAGTGACATGTTTGCATGTTTAAGGGGAAATAACCGAATTTTCTCAAGTGTGGTCGCTGATCCCTTACAAACCTTTACTGTGATGTCCATCTCCCTCCCCTCATCCATTTCCTTTCCTCAACCTCACCTCATCTCTGAGCAAGCAATATATAAACAAACTGTGGTATATCCATCTAGTGATTACTATAGTGAATACTAATCAGTGGTAAAAAGGTGTGAATTACTGATTCACACAACAACATGGATAAATCTTAAATACATTTTGCTAAGTGAACAACCCAAAGCCTACATATTGCACAATTCCATTTAAATGACATCCTGGAAAAGAAAAAACTGTAGGGACAGAATACAGATCAGTGGGTGTCAGGGATTTGGTGTGGGGGAGGCACTGACTACAAAGGAGACTCACCCTGGAAAATTTGGGGTGATCGAACTGTTATGTATGGTACTTTGCTGATAGATACACGAAACAGTCAAAATCCATAAAACTATACAGAACAAAGGGTGAATTTTACCCTACATAAATTTTTATAAATTCAATGAGGATGGAGGTGGAACCTAAAATGGAACAGATCATGCTCTTTGTCATACAACGTCATGTTCTTTGTCTTACAAAGGCCATGCATATTTTCTTCTATGTTTTGTCCTAGAAGTTTTATAAGTTTTAGGTTTGATATTTACGTCTATGCTCCATTTTGAGTTAATTTTTGTAAAGGTGTGATGTGTGTGTCAAGGTTCATATTCTTGGCACATGGACATCAAATTGTCCAGCACCATTTGTGGAAAAGACCACTCTTTTTCCATTGAATTGCTTTTCATTTTTATAAAAATGAAGCTGACTATATTTGTGTGGATCTATTTCTGGGCTCTCTGTTTTATTTCACTGATCTTTGTGTCTATCTTTTCAACAATAAGTATCATATTGTCTTTATTACTACAGCTTTAAAGTAAATATTGAAGTTGGTAGTATGAATCTTCTAACTCTGTTCTATTTCAGAACTGTTTTGGCTATTCTATTTATTTGCCTTTCCCTATAAATTTTAGAATCAGTTTTTTGATATCTACAAAAAAGATTGCTAGGAATTTGACTGGGATTGTGTTTAATTTGTAGATCAAATTGAGGGAAAATGAAAACATGAGTTTTCCAATCCATGAACATAGTGTATTTCTCCATTTATTCATTTCTTTCATCATGGCTTTTTTTCATTTTCAGCATACAGTGTATGTATTTTGTGAAATTTAATTCTAAATATTTTATTATTGGGAAGGGTAATAAAATGGTATTTTAAAATTTTATTTCAAATTCCAATTATTCATTACTGGAACATAAAAATGAATGACTTTGTATACTGATTATGTATCCTGCAAGCATGCTAAGATCACTCAATAATTTTAGGAGCTTTTTTGTAGATTCCTTGGGGTTTTCTACTTAGATAATCATGTTGTCTTCAAATAGAAACAGTTGTATTTCTTCTTTTCCAGTTTGCATGTCTTTTATGTCTTTTTCTTTCTTGTTTTACTGCACTGGCTAGGACTTAGCAAAATGGTGAATAATGGTGGTCAGAGAGGACATCCTTGCCTTGTTCCCAATCTTAGGGGTAAAACATTCAGTTTCTCACCATTAACCACAATGTTAGCTTTAGGGTTTTTTTTTTTTTTTTTTTCCAGATAAGCTTTAGTAAAGGATATTCCTTGTCTATTCCTAGTTTGCTGAGAGGATTTTTTTTTTTTCATGAATAAATGTTGAATTTTGTCAAGTGCTTTTTCTACATCTAGTGAGATAATGATCATATGATTCTTCTTCAGTCTTTTATTATGGTGAATTACAGTAACATTTTCAAATAATGAAATTGAAATCCACAGTGCATTCCCAAAGATGAACCCCATTTGGTCATGATATATCCTTTTTATATATTGCTAGATTCAATTTTTCAATTCAATATTGAGGATTTTTGTTTCTAAGTCCGTGAGAAATAATGGTCTGTAGTTTTCTTGATATGTCTTTGTCTGGTTTTGGTATCAGTGTAACGCTGGCCTCATAAAGTGAGTAGGCAAGTGTTCTTTCTCTTCTATGTTCTGGAAGAGTTTGTACAGAACTGTTACAATTTCTTCCTTAGACGTTTGCTATTTCAAAACCTGTGAAGTTATCTGGCTGTGGAGTTTACTTTTTAGAAGGTTTTTAATCGCAAATTCAAATTCATTAATAAATATATAACTTTTCAGGTTATTTATTATTGAGTGAATTTTGGTAGTTTGTCTTTTTCAAAAAAATCTGTCCATTCATTCCCCTTCTTTTTATTTGCTTTGGGTTTAATATGTTCTTTTTT